ACGCGTGGTAATTCGACGCGTGGTAACTCGATGCGTGGCAATTCCAACGCGTGGTAACTCGACGCGTAGTAATTCGACGCGTGGTAATTCGATACATTGCAATTCCAACGCCTGGTAATTCGACGCGTGGTAAATCGATGCGTGGTAACTCGACGCGTGGTAAATCGATGCGTGGTAACTCGACGCGTGGTAATTCGATGCGCTGCAATTCCACCGCGTGGTAATAAAATCGTAGATAACAGAATTAACTTGCTAAAATTATCAAGAGGTCAATCTATATCATAAAAATGCTGAGGCAGAGGGTAAATGAACAAAGTCCTCCACAACGACAGCACGCGTTAACATAACCTATCTCGTATTTACACTAATAATAGTTCTCTCCCGTAGTAACCGTAAAGCGATTAGTAGTTTAGTCGATTATTTAATAGTAGTCAGAGCGGCCCTCGGTTTCGACTTAATTTAGGCGGTATAGTAACATAGTATGCGGTTAGCTCGTCCTCGTCGTGTACAATTAATAGTATAGTAGCGGTAATAGTATTAGTTTAGAATAGCGCTGCTAGTAGTTAGTTAGTTAGTTAGTTAATAGTAGTAATAGTATTATTGGTGGTGGATGAGTGGTAGTTTTTATCTTTCTTATCGATGGCGGTGCTGATGGTGATGGTGGTGATGGTAGTTGTGGTACAGTAGTATTCGGCGGTTCGCCGTGTAGCGTTAATAGCGTTACAAGCATTATTATAGGAATATAGTAGCGTCGTCGCCTCGTTTATCTTATATCAAGTATCTTACGTTATTGCTAGTTACCGATATTGCTAGTCTCGATCTCTTTGTACTATCACTACGAACCGATTGACAGGGTGCGTTCTTCCCCATTCGACCCCGTCTGGATCCTTCGATCAAACCTTCACCCTTCAAACAAAACTGCGAGTTTCTAGAAAAACTTATGGACTTCGCTAGCGATTCAGCAATTCGGTAATCGTCTTAAACTAGGATTTTTAATAACAAAGAAAGTTAGTATGTTACAAAGAGTACAAGCACAATCAAGAGGACGAGGAGTGCAATGAAAAATCAACTGGTGGCTGTTGAACGATCTTATTTTCTTGAACTAATCAACACGCTGACTGTCAAGGTCTCAAAGACATTTACATAATATAATAGACATAGAATTAAGGGTAGAATTTAGACTTCATTTACTGAAACTTGCACGTACATATTAAATTAAAATTGACTATTTTACAAAAACCCCTCTTATTCCTATGTCCATTGACGACAAAAGTAAGCAAGTCGCAGTCAACGTGTTAACACAAGACGAATCGATCAAATGGATCCAAGTAGTCGCTAATGGGCAAGACGCAGCGCACCCTTTCAACCATCACTCGAACAGAAAAATAAGTACTCAAATGTCACTTTACAAAACTCCAACGAAGAATCGTGTACCTCGCTGCCATCACGATAATTCTACGTACTAATTCTTTGTTAACGTTCAAACGAAACATTCAAATCGTCTTAACAATAACGTGTAATTTACAGACCCTGGAAGGGTCGATTCCAACAGAAAGAAAAATGAAAGTCTCTTTAACGTATAGTCGACGGAAAGCACTTTGGACAATAATAATAATGCACAGGGTGCTTCCTCGCATGTGGAACCCGCTTAAACTTATAAACAAACACAATTTTTATAAATTTTGTTTTTAGAATTTCTGCCATGACGTGTGATTATAGCTTAGAGTTTAACGTCGTAGAGTTTGACGCAGTTACAGTAGCAAGATTTAACTTATAATCAATTCCAAAGCGTGGAATATGTGTGAATACGTGAAATAAAATTACAATAAAAGAGTACGCGTAATAAAGCGAGCGACGCATGTAACGAAACACCCTGTAGGCTAGGACCTTCGTTGTCGTCGAGTTCGATGTTACAATTAATAATATATCTCGTCGCGCGACGTTTACCACTAAATTTCTAAATAGTTAATAACTATAGATCTCTCACTATCTCGAATATCGTCCGTCTTCGTTTCCCATTCTACTTCCATTTTGTGTTGGCTCTTCCTCTTCCTCTTCTTTCCTCTTTCGCAGCAGTTCGGTATAACGTGTTTTTCTTATTTTTTTTGTAACCGCTTAATCTCGATAATAATTTCAATATTAAATATTCACTTTGTTTCTAACTAGCAGCCTCTGGTGACTAGTCCGCAGCTAGTCTTCCTCTCGTTTCTTAGTTCTCGTTGTGTTCACTAGTGTTAGCACTAGCCTGAGCATGTAGGCGATTATTATTTAACGATACAATTAGAAAGTTATTTAATATTATTATCCGTGGTTCGTGGACCGGTTTAACATCCGTTCCACCGGACTCGTCGATCGGATCCCCTCGACCTTCGTCTCTATAATAATAACAATAATTATTATCATATTTTTTTACCCTTCTTGTTCTCTTTCTCTGTTTTTCTTAAAAACGCTCGAAGAAGAAGAAGAAGCTTCTGCCTCGACTACAAAAAACCACTTCCGCCGACGCGTCTAAACAAGCGTGTGTGTTCCTTCATAAATATTATAAAAAAATATAATAGAAAATTATAATTTCGTTATAATATTTATAAGCTACTCGAGAAATTGGCACTAGAAAATCTTTTTTTTCGTTTTTCTCCTCGCTAAACCAAGTCCGCCAAGCAAGTTCCGAAGGTCAGCTAGTCAATTATAAGCATTGTTAGAGTAACTGAACGTTAGAATTACCGGCCTAGTACCTTGGAGTGGTGGAGTTAGCAGAGTTAAGTCTAGGTTACAGTATATTAATTGGAGTGGCTTAATTTACATTGCGGACTATCAAGCCTTGTAAGCAATACTAGCTCTACTATACTGGATAGTATCACTACCATGGTATAATCTTATCTATTAGGTACCAAGTACTAGGCAGCGACAACTCCAATTATAAAAATCCTACCACAACATTGTCTAACGCCGAAAAGAAAGAGAACGGCTACATTCCCTTCGGATCACTCGCTTCGCAGACCCGATCCAAATCTTTTCTTGGAAGAGAATTTGACAGGGGACCAGAAGTGTCCAACGCGTGTCCCTTCGTTCCCTTCAGACGCTACTACACTCTAGAATCCTCTAAAACGTTATAAAATACCGCGACGACGAGACCGACAGCCGTCAAACGAGTCTCGCGTGTATGTACAAAAACGCTTTCGGAAGGGCCTCGAAGCAGGAAGAATAGGAATAGATCGTTTATAAAATCGCGCGAGAAACGATTACTCTAGTTCTCTCTTGCTTTGATCACTTTTTTTGTTACTGTTTTAGCAGTCGATGGGACCGATCGGCGACCGATCAGACGCTTCTTAGGTGGCGAAATGAGGGGTCCTTACTCGCGTCCTTCGAGGACAGTCAAGAGAGAGAGAGAGAGAGAGAAAGAGAGAGAGGGAGAGAGAGAGGGAGAGAGTTACAAATTAACAGTGTATCGAGAGAGGAAAACGACGCTTCCGGTGGCGCGGAGACCGTCGCACGGAAGTAATAATTGACCGAATGTTAACCCCCTGAGGTCAAAGTGCGTTCTCCATGCGAGCGAACAAAATTGCTTAAGTTAACTAAACTTTGTCAATATGTTAGTCTAACCCTTTTGATCCCAAGTTAAATCAGCACTTTGTAATAATTTGAACACCTGGTTAATCCTAGTCTGGTGGGTCCGCGCCCACATTTTGAGCATTCTATCTTGGCAAACCAAAACAATGTCCCCTAACGAAAGGCAAAATCCGTGTGGGAAGTGGAGCACGAAGCTAGGAAGTTTCCGAAGCGGTGTCCCTCAGAGGGTTAAAGAGTTAGCCCCGCGGGTGGCGAGGCTCGACCAACGATCGATCGACCCTGGTCTCAGTTTAGTCTCGAGAGTGGCGGGTGGGCCGCTGTGCCGGAAGCGCCTCGATCCCTCGACTGTGTCCGCTTAAACTACGATCAGACTCTCAGGCACTCGATTCTCCGCAGGCTTAGGTCGCGAAGCTGAACACGACACGAGGAATCCTGGCGATTCCCCTCCGGCTCAGGGTTATTATCGTACGCGGTGGTGAGTAACGACCCCGTGGAACATGCGAGCTTCTCGAGACTTTCCGCTCTAAGCCTCCAGTGTCACGGGGGAGACTTCGGTCTGCCGCTCTTGTCCTGCATCACTTGTTGCTGCTGCTGTTGCTGCTGCTGCTGCGTCTGCTGTTGTTGCTGCTGCTGCGGTTGCTGCTGCTGCTGCTGTTGGGGCTGATGGTGATGCGATGTCGGGTCCGCTGACACGCCCAGGTCCGTGCTCATCATGTTACCAGCGCCGCTCTTGTCCACCACGCTGCTCGTGTGCACTGGATGGAAGTATCGTTCTGCAAGGTACACTGTGTTTATTTCAATCTTTCGTTATCTGACCACAGTAGGTCAATGCTACGAGCGGTGGATCAGTTGGACCGTCCACCGCTCGTACAATATCAGATCTAGTACTGGAGCTACCTGTGACATTTCTGAGGCAACTGACCTTCGTCCATGGTGGAAGGCGGTTCGCTGGCGGTTCCTGTGATGATGGGGGCGATCATGTTGTAGTCGTCCTCGAGATTGATGAACGGTGCAGTGTTCCAGCGAGGTGGCACGTTAGACACCGATCTCTGGGTAGCCACAGGCCTCGTCACCGACACCGGCGACGAGAAGAGGGAGAGGTTCGTCGGGGAGATCACCCCCGACATCGAGCTGATGGTAGGATACGTGAATATTTGCTGCGGAGGAACAGAAAATTAGTGTCAAATATTTGAACGAACGTGGAGGCACGTACCTGTCCAGGTTGGGAGTGAAAGTGAGCAAAGGTGTATTCCCTGCTGGTGTGGGGCGCCGTGACGAGGATCCTGGCCGGGCTCTTCCTTCCTGCAGGATCGACGGAACTCTGGCAACCGGAACTGACGAGACCCACTGCGGCCGCGGCCGCCATCTGCTCCTGACTGGACGCCAGTTCCGACGGGTCCGTTGGCGAGGTCGACGAGGTGGGGGGTGAGTTCGAGCTGGCGGCTGTTAACTCGCCTGTCGACCTTATGATAGCGACAGGCCTCGCCATCGGGGCCGGCGGCGGTGGAGGCAGCATCGAACTCGGATAATACTGTGAGAACTTTTGTATACCAGTGCGGGGTCCGGCTAGCTGCGCCTGGAAATACCACACACCCACCGATCAACGTCGTCGACCCGCGCGTGATCCATTCACCCCGATTTCTTTTTTCCCCGTTTGCTCCTAGTGATGGGAATTTTATTTCTAATCGCTAGAATTATTTGGGTGGATTAATTGTGGAGAGATGAGATGGCAGATGGGTAGGTAAAGCAAGTTGGAGAAGGCTGATTCAAGTGTAGACTTGAACTGGACCACCTTTTCAGCCCCCAAACTATCATAAGTTGAATTACCACGCGTTGGAATTGCAACGCATCGAATTACCACGCATCCAATTACCACGCGACGAATTACTACGCGTTGGAATTACCACGCGTTGGAATTGCAATGCATCGAATTACCACGCGCTGGAATCGCAACGCATCGAATTACCACGCATCCAATTACCACGCGACGAATTACTACGCGTTGGAATTAACACGCGTGGAATTACCACGCGTTGGAATTGCAACGCATCGAATTACCACGCATCCAATTACCACGCGACGAATTACCACGCGTTGGAATTACCACGCGTGGAAATACCACGAGTTGGAATTGCAACGCATCCAATTTCCACGCGACGAATTACCACGCGCTGGAATTACCACGCGTCGAATTACCACGCGTAGGAATTGCAACGCATCGAATTACCACGCGCTGGAATCGCAACGCATCGAATTACCACGCATCCAATTACCACGCGACGAATTACTACGCGTTGGAATTAACACGCGTGGAATTACCACGCGTTGGAATTGCAACGCATCGAATTACCACGCATCCGAATCGCAACGCATCGAATTACCACGCATCCAATTACCACGCGACGAATTACTACGCGTTGGAATTAACACGCGTGGAATTACCACGCGTTGGAATTGCAACGCATCGAATTACCACGCGCTGGAATCGCGACATATCGAATTACCACGCGTCAAATTACCACGCGTTGAATTACCACGCGCTGGAATCGCAATGCATCGAATTACCACGCGTTGGAATTACCACGCGCTGGAATTGCAACGCATCGAATCACCACGCGCTGGAATTGCAAGGCATCGAATTACGTATGTTAATGATTCAGCAAAGATAATAACTTTCATCAGATCTTAGTTCATTCGTTTATTCCCATCACTAGCTGCGAGCTCGTTTAGATCAGACCCCTCAGTAACCTTCAAGAAAAACTGATATTCGATGTTCGAGTTCGCCTAGCAAACGAGGGTTCACCCCCAAATTTTGGCACATTAACATGTTTGAGTGGATTACGAATCAGTCTCGGAAAATCCAGGGCGATTGGAACACGGATGACGATGCAGGTCGCATAGAACCGCCATGTTGTGTCCTTTCAGAAAGAGTTGGTTCCTAGGAACTTCGAACGCTTTACCGAAGGTGGACACAAGATGGCGGGTTTAAAAAGGATCCGGAAGCTACCTGGGGCAACTGTTGAGTATTCTCCGCCTCCTGGCAAACGAACGTCACGAAATCCGAGAGGGTGTCGTGACCGTTCTCGGGGTACTTGACCACCCCCGTGGAAGCAGGATGCTCTGGCTGGTAGTAGGCTAGCCCGGACATGCTCTGACCGGAACCACCGGCCAGTCCTTCGTGAGGAGAGTGCAATCCTGAAACACAATTCAGCACTGTCATCGTCTGACTGTCTGTGTCTGGGGCCACGAGGAAACCACCCCCTAAAATTCGACCGATTCTTCTTAATCAACTCCGTTTCATCCCCTTTTGTATTTTAGTCCTTAACGAGAAATTTTATTAGTTGTTAATTGTTAATTGTTAGCTAAGCGGGCGGTTCACGAAGACAGAGAATTAGAAGGGGTAGCAAAACAGAGGTAACGATTGCTGCTGCCAGTCTGTTAGGGGGTGGTTTTAGTGGTACTTTCTTAGGAAGGGGACGACCAACTATAACGATCGTGTTAAATATATATGTATATAGGCACTCCAAGCGTGAAGGCTGGATGGCTGAAATGTACATGTACTTATGTATCCTCGTGTACGTGCGCGCGCGAACGCTAGTTTGTCAAATTTATTTTATTTTGTTATACATTGACTATCATGTGTCAATTAAAAAAGAAAAAATTCATTAAGAAAAAGCGTATAAACAAATTTAAGATTGTCGAATGTTATGACCCGCCCACTTCTTGCGAGGGAGTGGCCAATCTCTGCCGAAGATAACCGAACTGGCCCGAGAGCCCAGCTGACACGAACCGAACCGTATAGAGACTCCCGTCGACGGGAACCGAACTCTGTCGACGAGAGCCGAACTGCACCGAGGGTCTAGTGCGAACGAATCAGAAAAGTGGAGGGGCGTGGTAATTGTAAGACACACCCATTGAGAAAAGGTATTACTCGTAGCAGTTCCATCTAAACGAACAAAGTAAAACAAAGATGGTTTTCTAAAGTAAAAGCTCGAATTTGAAATTCGATGATATTCTTAACAATTGTTGTGTGATTGATTCATGACAGTCAACGTATGAATGTATTTATTGTAAATTAGATATGAAAATAGCGCTCTCACGTACACGTATGTCACGCAACATGTGGTTATATACATGTATGTATATATACATATAGATGTATGTATATATATAATAATATATAGACAGAGATAGATATATAGTGCAACAACAAACATCAAACAGCAAGATAACAACGATTAAACAACACATCAAAAACATCAAGGTAACAACATCAACATCAATACAATGATATACATATATATGAGATAATATATATATGTATGTATGTATGTATATATATATGTATATGGTAAACAACAAACACCAACATTGCACAACAATAGAGAATATATATATATATTTATTTATAATAGGTAGTATCGTACGGAGATAGATAGATAGAGAAACAGAGAGAATAGAGAACAAACAAGTCTCGATCAAGGTATCGAAATTAATATTCAATCAAGTCAGTTAATGAAGTTAGATAATCAATTAGTTCATCCAGCATACGACATACCCAGAGCATTGGCCGTGTGACAGTGAGTGAGATAGAGATAATTATATGGTGTGCACGGTTTAAGGGAGTACAGTCTCGATTGTGTTCGATCTTCAGAACTAGCTTTTCTCAACTATATTTAGTCAATTTGTGCCTCTGAGGATTTTTAGGGTATACTTGCATTCGAATTACCACGCATTGGAATTGCAGCGCATCGAATTACCACGCGTTGAGTTACCACGCGTCGAATTACCACGCGTTGAGTTACCAGGTGTCGAATTACCACGCGTTGGAATTGCAACGTATCGAATTACCACGCGTTGGAATTGCAACGCATCAAATTACCACGCGTCGAATCACCACGCGATGGAATTGCAACGCATCGAATTACTACGCGTTGGAATTGCAACGAATCGAATTACCACGCGTCAAATTACCACGCGTCGAATTACCACGCGCTGGAATTACCACGCGTTGGAACTGCAACGTATCGAATTACCACGCGCTGGAATCGCGACGCATCGAATTACCACGCGTCCGAATCACCACGCGTCGAATTACCACGCGCTGGAATTACCACGCGTCAAATTACCACGCGCTGGAATTACCACGCGCTGGAATTACCACGCGTTGGAACTGCAACGTATCGAATTACCACGCGCTGGAATCGCGACGCATCGAATTACCACGCGTCAAATTACCACGCGTCGAATTACCACGCGCTGGAATTGCAACGCATCAAATTACCACGCGCTGGAATTGCAAGGCATCGAATTACCACGCTTCGAATTACCACGTATCGAATTACCACGCACTAGAATCGCAACGTATCGAATTACCACGCGCCGAATTACCACGTATTGAATTACCACGCGATAGAATTGCAACGCGCCGAATTACCAAGCGCCAAATTTCTCCTTCATCCCTCAATCTCGCTAAAAGAAATGACTGCACAAAATCGTGAGAGGCACAAATTGCAACATGATGTTCCAGCGCGAACCGAAGAGCTCTCGAGGCTGTACCCTTAAAAAATAGTAATACGTGAACAGGTGGGTGTAACAGGGTGGGCAGATAGACAGACAGACAGACAAACGAACAGACAAACAGACAGACTGACAGACAGACAGACAGCGACAGCTAGCTTACCAGGTAGACCGGTACTACGCAGTTAGCAAGAAATGTCCGTCTGTCTGTCTGTCTGTCCGTTTCCAAGCCCCGTTTCCCATAATATCGAAATACCCCTCTTAAAAAAGGAACGAACTCTCGATCAAACGACTGGGGACGAAGGGGCGAATTAGCCTTCGGAATCGACTTCGGATCAACTTCGTGACAACAGACAGGTCAGTCAGACGGACAGGCACAAAACGGGGGCGTTAGATAAAAAAAAATATACAAATAGACAGTTATACACATACAGTACTATACATACACAGGTGATAAACAGGAATATCGTAGAGTGTACTTTTGTTTCCATACAGAGGCAAACATAAAAAAAGTTCTTGTTAGTCGACGGTTTTTTTTGTTTTGGTTCAACACATTTAACGTAGGGGTTGACGGTTTCAACCCCATTATAGGGGTAGATTAATCGCTGGGTCCTGGTGTCCTTTGATGAATGGACTTTTAATTGGGAGAAGGATTTTTAAATATTGGAGCAGCTTATTTTTGGGGATGTCCGAGGAGTTTTGAATTGGGGGGTGAAATTACCGGGGATGGTAACTTCGTCAAAATTCAGTGTGCGATTTTATTACTTGAAAATAGAAGCAGAGAAAATGGAACACTGAATTTTGGATCTTTCGCAGTAGAATGAGTCAACCTATGGTCAGACGCGAAGCTTTACTCCTGGCTCTAGTTACATATCTCGTACACCTCGATGCATCGATAAAATTAGTTTACAAAGGGTGGTTCTGCGAAGTCAACTGGCTTTCAAAGGTTCACAAATTCGAAAACGTTCTCGCGAGTAATCGACGTCTATACCGACATTGGCTATGTGTATGCCTGAAAGCGGAAGCTCGACCGTTCAAGAAATTAAAGAAGAAAAAATTCGATAGACTAAAACCGAAAAGTCTGTCGCGCTCTTCGAAACTACGAACTGATTCAATTTCCGTAAAAGAACGAAAGGAACAAAATCTGCAAGCTGGTTTCTTAAATAATTTAAAAATTAACATTTTCAAAACCTGGAGAGTAACATTACACATTTATAAAAGCACCGATCCAATTTTCTTTTAAATGTTCATTTTTTTTAATTATTAAAAATTCTCGAAGATCGCCGCTTCTTACGTGTGTAACACAACAAGAGTGGTTTCGAAAGTGTTAATCAGAAATTGAACCATTCGAAGAACAGAAAGACGAAAATCAATAAAAGGAAGAAAAACAATTCAGCTCGCCTAACAACGACAGCATTGCGCGAACAATCGTGCACACAGCTGCAGGCGGCTATACAAACGTGCCGACAATTATTGCAAACATACGTGCTCGTACACATCCAATTACTCTTAATTGTACACCATCGATCAAAAGTAGAGGACCATCATTTAAAATAACAACTTATTTTTGCTTTTGCTACCTGGGTCAACTCAACGTTGTCACAAACTGTTAAAAGGGAGGGTTAACTAGGTTAGATCTGAGGGAGAGTTAGGTCTCAAGGAGAGTTAGATCTGAGGGAGAATTAAATTTGAGGGAGAGGGTGTTAAATTCTCTTCTAACTTAAGGTATTTTAAGTTGCAAGGTTAGGTTAGGTGGGAGTCACGTGATCAATACTTTCTCATTGAAGCGTTGCTCACGTGATGAGGAGTCACGTGATGGAATTCCACGCGCCAAAGGTTAACGCGTGGTAGTTCTACGCATCGAATCACAACGCGTCCCAACTATCACGCGACGAATCACAACGCATCTCAACTACCATGCGTGGAGTTACAGCGCGTCCCAACTACCACGCGTGGAATTACAGCGCGTCCCAACTATCACGCATGGAATTTACAGCGCGTTCCAACTACTATGCGTCGAATTACCACGCGTAGAATTACCACGCGTTCCAACTACCACGCGTCGAATTACCACGCGTCGAATTACCACGCGTCGAATCACAACGCGACCCAACTACTACGCGTGGAAGTACAGCGCGTCCCAACTACCACGCGTGGAATTTACAGCGCGTCCCAATTACCACGCGTTGAATCACAACGCGTCCCAACTACCACGCGTCGAATCACCACGCATCCCAATTACCACGCGTGGAATTACAGCGCGTAGAACTACCACGCGTGGTATCACAACGCATTGAACTACCACGCGCCAAATTACAGCGCACCGAATTACCACGTATCAAATCACTCTTCTCCAATTGGTATGTTGATCACGTGACACGGAGCGTGCCTTAATTATCCTTGATAGACAATAAAATTGTAAGTTACATAAAATAAAATTGATCAAACGACTGAAACTCCATGAAACAGCCAATACAAACAAAATATTTAAACAATTTTTAAGCTTGAAATTGTGGGTTTAATGTTTAGTAACCGAATAGTCCTGTATCTTTAACCGAGAGACGTGTTCGCAATAATTGTCGCGATCCCCGCGCACGCGTGTATGCAGGCGCACACGCATGCGCAGAGAGACAGGTGGACGTACAGGGAGATAGAGATAGATGCAACACCGAGCT